CTCATAATAGGTAATTTATTTAATATCCCTAACCGCCCGAAAAAATAGAAGATATGGCAACGATGTAAATTTTCAAATTTTTAGATTAGGTCTAGAATATATTTGTCTCTCTCATTACAAAGGAGAGAGAAAGAAGGATATATCAAATGTCAAACTTCCATCTGGTCTCAATTTTCTTTGTTATTTTGTTAAGAAAAGTGTTTTTCAGTAAAATATTGGACATTTTTCTATCCCCAATCAAATGTGGCTTTTAGATAAACTATAATATAATGAAAATATAGTGAAATTATTACTTTATAGGGCCGAAATAAAGAAAAATTCAATGTTGAAATAATTTTCCGTTTTTCTGAAAAACGGTAAGAGGTCGCCAAGAAAAAAATAGATTCGTAATCTACGACCTCAAAATAGTGTGTATAATAATTTTGGTGAAAATCGGACGATTTCCAGTTTTCCTAATAATTACTACATTTTTTATTATTTTACAGGTAACACCTAAATATTTCATAATAATAATTATTTTTTTACAGATGGATGTAAGAAGATAGCTTTTATTTTTATTGTTTCAGTGATCCAGGGGGGGGCAAATGCCCCCTCTTGCCCCCCCTGTCCGGCGCCCATGAGTATCTAAATATATGGGGGCGTGGGGGAGGCTATACCATAATTGGAAGTGGTTGAATAAACTGAAACTGATGATGATGATGCTGTCCGATATATTTCTAATCTCTATTATTTTGTTAACTATAACGTATTTTTAATAATTTTCATTCGTATTATGAACTTATAATAGAGCAATAGATTTAAACTTACATGTATCATGTATGTAATAATAAAATTAATTGATTTTAGTAATTTTCATATTAGTAAGAATCAGCAAACAAAAAACACGTTTTAAAGAAGAGAACTAAAATACGATTAAAAATAAAAAATCTAAACTATTTTCTCCAAAACATTATTGTAGAGGAATGTAGTTTATTGTATTTTAAAATAAACACATATATTATTATTTCTCTCTGACGGATAATTACCTCTAATTGTTTTCTTGCTCGACTTCGTCCGCACAATATAAAATATAAAAGTAACATTTAGTTCTTCCCGCCCAGGAAGTTCTGTTGAACTTGTAGTAACAATGAAAGAAATTTCTTTATAAATTCTTATGTTAAATAATTTAAATTTTTGAATAGAAGGTTCCTGGTTTTTCATTTCGGCGATATTTTGAAACACATAATTACTTTTTAAACGTTCTGTGTACAAGAAGACCCACAAAATCTATACTTTCATTTATTTGTGTGTTGTTAGTGATGTAATAAACATAATAACCTAATCTTTAGGCTCGTAATTTTGATTGACAACATTAATTATAAAAAATGTCTATACCTATGTGGCGGATTCATTGCAGTGGCATTCATTTATACCAAGGAATATTTTTATTTCTAATTATATAATTATATAATACAGGGTGAGTTTTAAGGAGGAGGTAATTGTAAATATTTTCACGCTTGGTAGATCTCGATAAAAGAAACCTCTTTACGGTTTTTCATATATATAAGTCGGTTCAGAACGTTCTACGACGTTTTCCGACACCTAACCTCCACTCTTCTCTATTTAGTCAGAGATCATCAGGTATTTCTCTATTTTCCAGTTCTTTATCCACACCCTCCCTCCAGCTTACTCGTGGCCTTCCTCTTTTATTTCTGCCTCGCGGTGTCCACAGTAAAATTTGTTTTGGTATTCTGTGGTCGGGCATTCGTTGCACATGACCAAACCATATGAGTTGTTTTGTTCTTATGTCGTCCACAATTGTGTGTTCTGCTCCCATAATCTCTCTTACTCTGTCGTTGGTTATTTTTTCTCTTTTCGATTTTCCAGCAGATCTCTTCCAGTAATCCATTTCGGTCGCTAATTGCATGTTCTCAGTTCTGCTTTTCAACTGCCATACTTCGCTTCCGTAAGTTATTATGTTTTTCACTACGGTATTATATATGTTCTTCTTATTAGCTTTAGAAATTCCTTGATCCCACAGTACACCATTCAACATAGATATTGCCCTCCCGCCTTGCATCATTCGATCTTTTATACCCTCATCGAGTTTTCCATCGTTAGTTATTTTTAATCCAAGATATTTATATTTGTCACAGTTTTTTATCACGCTTCCATCCTCTAAGACTATGTTCTCTTGTAGTCCTCCTACAGTCATACATTGAGTTTTTGTGATATTTACCTCCAACCCCCATTTCTTATACTCCTCTATCAGCTTCCTTGCCATATATTCGAGGTCTTCGTAGTCTTGGGCTAGGACTATCTGGTCGTCCGCAAAAAATAGGGTGTATAGGGTGTCCTCATTTATTAGGGGGATTCCCATTCCTCTACACTTAAGCATCCATCTTTTTAGTGCTTGTTGCAAGTATATTTTCATATTCCCATTGCAACTTTTCCTGCGCTATAAGTTGATGTTATTAGTTTTCCAGTCTGACGTTTCTTTTCGGAGATACCATCATCAACTTTATTTTGTTAAATACGGACCTGTATTTTTAATTTAATTTTTAAAATCTTATCTCTTAAATAAAATTATATATTTATATTATAAGAAGCTATGTGTTGAAGATGGTTATACGGATCACTTTGATTGATGTGTATAAATGAAACATTTATTGGGTAATCCATTACGATTATTGTTAGTTCCCAGTAGTTAATACGTAGGAAAAAAATCGTGGGTGTTTGGGAAGGCTCGAAAGAAAACAGTTATGTTTATTGTCGCTTCTTAATTTGTTTTGGTGCTGAAGAAGCGACAATATAGTCGCGAAACGTCGCAAAAAACATAATTGTTTACTTTCAAGCCTTCCCAAACACCCACGATTTTTTTTTTCTGTTTATTGGGTAAGATAGATATATTATTGTATTGCATAATCATTTAAAAAATTATTAAAAATTTTGATCCGTATATTTAAAAAATACAAAGTTGATGATAGTTGCTAAGGAACAAAATATCAAATTATAAATCTATAATAACATCAACTAGAGTAGGAAATGGATAGCAACGGAATAGAATCCTGAATCATAACTTTGTATAGAGTTAAGCAAGGTGCAACTTTTCTCCTACTTCAGTCATCTCTTTTATCTCTTCTGGCTTACGTGATCCATGTAGTCTGCATTCTTCTATGGGTCACCTTGTATACACGCATGTTTTGAACTAGATTATTCGCTAGTCGATGATACGACACGGGATGCATTTTAAAGCTTAGTAATAACTAATGTATTATTACTTTCACTACTTTGGTGCGCAAAGTGTTAAAAGCATTCCTTCTGTTATGTAAATACGCATAAGCTTCAGATTTCTATTGTTGTCGTAATTCAAATATAATATATCCTGTATTTATTCAGTTACAGGGTGTTCGATTTAGAATTGAGGCGTCAAGTTAGAATACGCAAATATTTGAAGCAATATTTTACAAAAAAACGTGCCCTTTGAGTGGAAAGTGGAATCATTGTTTTGTATCCTATATGTTTATGTCAATTCTCTATTTTAACGTCAATTTATAATTAATGACATATAGAAATCGGCGAGACAAAAATTATTCATATCTTTCATTTCAAAGGCCAACAGGACAACGTTTTTTTATTGTTACTTGTATTAATGTACAAGATCAAACCAAACTAAAAAATTTTATAATCAAGTGTGTTCTGTATGAATAAATCTTATTGGAAATACAGGGTAAGTAAAAAAAAAGTACCTACAAATATTTTAGGGGTGGTATACAGGGTGTCCCAATATACCCTGGACATAGAACTATTACGTATTTATGGAATCGAAATAAGTTCATTGGACACAATTTACCTCTATGCAAAAGTGCTTCGTTTGTCCGCTAGAGGGCATCAAACTTTAAAAAAAATAAACACATTTCTTCAGATATTTTAAGGGCCGTTATTACTACTTGAATGAGATTTTGGTGTCTATGTTTTGCTAAGTGCTTTAACATTTGGCTTTCACAAAAAATAGAAAAGGTACGGGAAGGGTTAAAAATACCCTCATCCCTATCCATAAATTTTAGCAAAAAAAACAAACTTAACCCGAACGTTATATAATTTAAAAATTATCAATTTTTTTAAGCTTGATATGAAGCATATCATCAAATATAATTTGTGATGCTAACATAAAATTCCATATTTTTGCTATCTAGATTATTATTAGAGCATAATAGATTTTGATATGACAAAAAACATTTTTTGGAAGTCAATTTTGGAAAAATAATTATTTTCTTCAAAAAATATGCACGGTGACGTTTTTTACAAGAGACAAAAAATGTAGTAAATACTAGAAGGACCATTTTCCGAAAAGAATTTTCCCTTCGTCGGTGGAGTTGGAAAATATTTATACTAAAATTTATGTAGGGGTGGGGGTAGTTTCCACCTTTCCCGTACTTTTTATTCAATTTTATGAACGTCAAATGTTAGAGCACTTAGCAAAACATAGACACCTAAAATTTCATTCAAATCGGAATAACGGTTCTTAAAATATCTGAAAAAATGTGTTAATTTTTTTAAAGTTTGATGCCCTCTAGCGCACAAACGACGCACTTTTGTATAGAGATAAATGGTGTCCAATGAACTTATTTTATTTCCAAAAATACGTAGTAGTTCGATGTCTAAGGAATATTGAGACACCCTGTATTTTGACCCCAGAAATAGGTCTACGAGTGTCTTTTCGCGACATTTTTTTTTAAATAGGCATTAAAAATAGGGCCCTAAAAATATTTGCACTTCTTTAAGACTCACCCTGTATATCATTTAATCATACAACTCTTTGGTCGTATGATACCTGATAAAAAATCGGCGTAACGGCGGCGTGTGAAATGACGATAAGTAAAATTTTCGATAATAAAAATGGTCGCCGGATTTGTAACTAGTTCAAGCATTTACTTGGACTAATTACAACCATATTCGTGATTAAAATATTGTTTATATTCCAATACCGGATCGTCAGCTGAAAATAAATCTGTACGTACCACGAAATTCCTCATCCTAATCACTTTTTTACCACCCAAGAACTACTGAATAATGATAGGTCGGGCCTCATTATTTATACCGAGGAACAAAAGGGGGTTAGAACGGGCGAAAACGGGGGCGAGCGGGGGGCCACGCTAGAATTCAAGAACAAGATCACCGAAAGTGAAAATGCGCGCCCGAGTGTCTTCTTCGCGCTAGAGGAGGGCAAATTTATTATTAACTTTTGTTTTTATTGTTGTTTGCGTATGTAATTTACGAAGATCGATCGAGTCCATTTCACTAGTCCGAAAAAGTAGCAAAATAAGCGTTCGGCATTTAACGTTATATGTAAAACTGGCTAGGTATTTTTACACAAATGAAGAAGGAATTTAAAGGTAAAGGATTATGCTATATCCGTATTGTAGCACATTTTGAGACAACTTCTTTATTTTTAAGATTTTGATGGTCAAACGTTAAAAAATATTCCTTATGTTTGGACTAAATTTTCTCGAAAATAAAAACATAATTTAAAATTCCGTTACAATACGGAAATAGATTGAAGTTTGGTGATTACAGTGATATATAATTCATATGATTTTGTAACAAATTGCTCGCTATTTTATGGCAAAAGCTGAAGCTCTGCAAACCTTAATCAAGCCTTAATCAAAGCACGTGTGTTTGGAACCGGACCACCGTAGTAGTAACATAGGCAGAACCGGACGAATTAAGCAGAACGCACATTATCGCGGAACGGAATGGATCGGAACGGATCGCAATAGAACGGAAATTTTAAAAAGTATATAATTAAGTTAGAGGCCGCACACTACCGCGGATCGGAGCCGCGAGGAATGGATCGGAACGGAAGGGAATCGCTGGGATTGCTTGCCGAGCGAATTTTTTCCGTTGTTCCACAGCCCCCTCCGGTTTTTGGAAAATAAAACTATGTACATACTTACTTTAATGGCAACGCCAACTTTTCTTCTGCACTTATAGCTTTTCGAAAAGTCGTATCTTGTTTCTGAATGTCTAGATTTTTTAACAAATCGTAAAATTTTTCGCTAGACATCCGGAAGTACTCGTCTTCTAATAGGTCTGGGAATAGATGATGAACTTCGCCATATTCTTGCAATTTCAAGGTTATTTCATGGACCCATTTGCGTTTTTTTGTGAATTTCTCTTTCAACTTCTTCTTCTTCTTCTTCTAAAAATACACACAATGTCACAAATTCTTCGTCTAAAGCAAATACGTTTAAATAAAATATACGACGGCCTCCCCATAAGAGCAATGAGAGGATTTACGTCCCGGTATTGAAGGAGGACAGAAAATCGAGTCGAATAGTTTCAAGACATAGGTTCATCCTTGTTTAGTCAAACCTCCTACAACACAAGGATAGACTTATGTAGGAAATGCATTGAAATTCTATAGCCATCCTTCAATATCGGGACAGGAATTTAAGCGGTACCCTCCGTATACTTTATTTTAAACTTGTATGTTTGTAAGAAGGGATTTGTATGGTTTTAAATTTGTATTTGGTCTGAAGAAGCCATCGCAAAAGAACAACACACACTAAAACTTAAACCAAGCCAGTCTAGTCGTAAATTACTCAAATATGTACAAATACATTTTCCGAGGAAGTCCGCTCTAATGTGCGATGAGGCAAAATTTCCATTCCATTCCGTTCCGATCCGATACGTTCCGAACTATTCCGTTCCGCGATAATGTGCGTCCTGCTTTAGCGTATACCCGTCCGCCGGATAAAAATCAGGCGAAAAAATGCGATAAAATAAGAATAGGTAGATATGTGATGAGAATGTTTCAGAGTTTGTATTTATTCGTGTTTTAATAGCCAAAACGAATACATAGATTCTCGCGACAGTTCTCGTGTAAAATTTATTTTTTAAGTAAAATAATGGATGTTTACGAAGTTCGTGAGAAAATTCAAATTGTAAAATGGTATTTCCAAAATAGGTCTTATCGGGATAACATCCGCGCAGGACGCGCGTACGGTCCGCTTCATCTAAAAGCGCTGTTTTCAATATAGCTCATCCGGACGGAGCATACGCGACCCATGTGAAATCGTTAAATAAACTCATGGTACTTGCTCGAAGTCGCGGACGCTCCGCTCCATCTGAAAACGCTGTAAGATTTTTTGTTTTAAATAAACATGATAGTAAAGAATAAACGACTGCTGCGATTTATTTTCTTGAAAATGTTGTGTTCAGTAGTAAAATCACGATTGACCGGTAAATTTCCAATCGATCCAAAAAAATTAAAAAATGCCTTATGTTGGATGAACAAATGCACAGAGGGGAAGAATTATTGCTCTCATTGAACAAGGAATCCCCAAAGAGACGTAGCAGACATAGTAAGCGTAGTTACCCATTGTATTAAAAACATATGCAAAGTACTTGAAACTTGGAAGTAGGAACAAACAAGAACAGACCCAGACAAGGTCGTCAAAGAGTTACAACTAAACAACAAGACCGCCTTGTGTGCCAAATTGCTAGAAGAAATTCCAATGTTTCTCATCCAGAGCTACAAAAACAACTTCTGGCAGCTACAGGTGTGAACGTTTCAGTTCAAATCATAAGAAAAAGTCTTCGTGCTCGAGTGTTGTACAGTTAGGAGAGAGTTACGAGCCCCACAGATATCTCGTAAAAATAAAATTAACCGGCTAAATTGGTGCCTTCGACATCAAAACTGGAGAACTGAAAATTGGCAAAATGTTCTTTTTTCGGATGAGATCAGGATTGGCCATTCAGATGACCATTGAATTCGAGTTCTCAGAGCTCCAGGAAAACGAGTGAGACACCAGGTTGCCAAATCTGTACCAAGATATAAAGGAGGAACGGTAATGTTCTGGGGAGGTTATGCTGGGAGCAAAAAACCATTTTTATCACTTCAACTCGCTTTAACGTCTCGGAGGTATGTTGATTTAGTGCTAGAGCAAATCGTTAGTCTTTGGAGAGCTGCAATTGAGGATAATATTAACTTCGTGCACGATAGTGCACCTTCTCATACCAGCAGTGACTAGAGAATGTCTTGCAACGGAAGGTGTCATAGTCTTGGACTGACCTGCATGTTCACAAGATTTAAATCCTATTGAACACTTGTGAGACCAGATCAAAAGAATTAAAGGTCGTCATTAGAGGTCGTCGAAACAATCCAGGAAATCTCGCACAGCTTATTGATGCAGCATTAGCAGAATGGGAAAACACACCCCAATATAAGGTTGATAATTTAATAAGAAGCATGCCGGCGCGGATAGAAGCTTGCATAAGGGCTAGAGGTGTCAACAAGGTGTCAAGGGCTAGAGGTGTCAACATTTTATGGATCCATGTGTAGATAACCAGGAGATTCGGGATATATTGCTGGCTGCATTAGTGCATTATGTGTATATGTTTGTAATAACGATAATATCTGTAGTTAATAGTGTGTCGTTATTCAATAAAAGTTTAACAAGTTTTGCGTTTCCTCCTGGTTTATTCTTAATACGAGTCCCTGTGTTCTGAACAATAGTACAACTCTCTTCAGTCCTTCGCTCTACGAGAGAGTATGGTGCCATCATGTGTTGATTCCCCTCACTTCCTCGGACCAAGTTGTTCGACACTGCGCCATATGTGAAACTTCGGGGAGGCTGTGGCCCACTAGGGTTTTGACTTGGTCTACCCACCTCTTAGGTGACCTTCCACGTGATCGTCTTCCCTCCACCTTCCCCTCCACCATCAGTGTCTCAATTGAGGTGCTACTCCTGGCAATATGGCCAAAATAATATCGGAGGATTGACTGATTTAATCTGGTAACCAGCCGTGTCTCAATTTTTAGTTCCTCTATAATGGAAATGTTTGTTCGATGAGCCGTTCGTGGTATTCGCAGCAGCCGTCGATATACCCACATCTCCAAGGCATTTATTCTTTGCTTATCACTTTCCCTCAGTGTCCATGTTTCGGAGCCATACATAGCTATGGGGAATATGAGGGAGTTTGCAATGCGCAGTTTAGTTCTTCGTGTGATTGCTGAAGTCTTCCATATCTTAGTCAGCTTTGTTGTTGCATTCCTCGCCATTGCCACTCTGCGCCTGATTTCAGCCTCGCATCCTCCAGAATTTGCTATCACGGAGCCTAAATAGTTGAACTGGCTCACAACCTCGTATCCAGCTACGGTTCGGACATCAGGTTGGTTATTGCGGAGGCGGTCAACAATCATCGTCTTAGTTTTCCCCTTGTTTAGTTCCAAGCCATATTCTGCACTAATAGAGCACAGTGCAGTCATGACTTCCTGCAACTCTTCTTTGCTGGCAGCTATAATCACGGTATCATCCGCGTATCTCAGGTTGTTTATCCTCCTGCCCCCCACGGATATTCCACCGTTTCATTCTTCTATTACTCGACGCATGATATATTCACTGTAGATATTAAACAGGATTGGCGAGAGTATACATCCCTGTCTCACACCTGCGATAACGTGTTATTGAAACCACTCGATAACGTATTATTAGCTCTGATCTTAGCATCGTTGTTCTTGTAGAGCTGTTTGACTAAATAAGTGAGGTGAGGTGGAGTGCCCATTTCTAGTAAGATAGTCCAAAGTTTATTCCATTTTACCTTATCAAACGCCTTGGAGTAGTCCACGAAGCACAGGTACATCTCGATATTGTATTCTCTGGCTTTTTTATAATATAAATAGTACATACAACACAGTGCTTCAATTGAACGAACCGTATTCTAAGAGGTAAATCGAATCTCACAATTCATTTTTGACACTCGTTTAAGTAACCACTCGTTCAATCTTTGCCCACCTCTAGTTTCCACACATTATTCCATCAAATGCGAAATAGGCAGAAGATGGTGGGATGGTGATGTATATTTTTTAGCCGTCTAGTCTAGTTTTATTTACAGGGTCGCCGTTTTTTGCCCTTCCGGAATTTAGCTAAAACAATCTGGCAACCCTAATTGTGTCTATTGTAAATATCTGACTGATTTGCATTTATATGTTATAAAAATACTCAATTCGTATACACTCTACTGTCACAAAAATACTCTTCCAATAA